TCGGCCTGGTCCCTTGCCGGGGGGGGGGTGGGGTGGTTGTTGTCGGTGGTTTTAATTCCTCCGGAAACAGGCGACCTAACGAGCTGAAAGGAATAAAACCCTGGCGGGTGAAGAACCAGCCCTCGTGCTGGGTTTCTCTTCCTCGAGCCTTGTCGCGGAGCTTCGAAGACGCGCTCCTGGGGAGGTTACCCTGTAATTGTTAAGTAAAGACGAGGGTGTTTTTCTTACAAGTCGCGTCTGATACTGTATTCAAGAGCGTTTTGGGGCCAGTGCTGGGGAGAAAAACCCAGCCCCTCTGAGGGACCTGAGCGATTGTTGTACTTTCTGCTGTGAACTGTAATCCCACCGGCAAAGACCCTGCAGAAGGACGCGGGCCTGCGGCTGTCCTGTTAACAGGACACGGGCTGCTCTTGTGGCCAACAGCAACTGAGTGCAGCTGCTAGCTGATCCTGAGCTTGCATACCCCTGTTTTCACTTTTATTAAATTACGTTGCCTCCTGTAGCTGCAGCAAGTAACATTGCTCGCTCCCTCGGTCCGCTGGTGGGTGTTTTTTTTTGTTGTTGTTTTTTTTTTTTTGCACTTCCTGCGCCGTGGAATTTACAGCACTTAAGAAATCTTTAATCCAGGGAGAACCACGTGGATTTGAACGACGGAAAGAGCTTGCACGTTTGGTTGCGTTACTGCCTTTCGTTGCAGGAAGAGAGGACGGTGCGAGACCGCAGTCTGCTCCAAGTGCAAGAGCACGAGCAGCCCATCGTGTGGAAGGTGCAGTTCAGTTTGGGGAACAGCAGTCAGCTGAGTAACCAGTGCAGGAATTCGGTTCAGGGGAAGCTCCTCATTACGGATGAACTGGGTACGCTCAATACCGAGTCTGTCTTCTGCATGCTGTGCTGCTGAATGCTTTGTTGCCTCGTTGTTCCAAGTAACAACTGCTCCTCGCTAATGCGTTCTCACTGCGGGCACCTCGGCTGTTGGCGGTTCACCCAAAGGCTGGGTTCAGTTTGCCGTGGCTGCAGACACTGCCGAGGGGGTTCTGTGCACAGCAGGCTTGGGTCCAGCTGGGCTTATAGCTCAGGCGAGTCTAACCGTAGACTCGAAGAACTCCAGTCGCTTTGCACAGAACTTGGACGCCTTGCCTTGTATGGAGGTGGTTCAGGATTGGCGTAATTAGTGCTCAGCCCCAGCTAATGAGCTCACCTGACCCTTGTAGACTCAAGCAGGTCTCTGCCCTTGGCTCTGGAAGCAATTAATTGGCATTTTAAGTGCATGGAGTCTTTCTCCCATGCACACGTGGGTCTCTGGTGTGCTTCGTGGTGTTCAAGCACTGGACCTCTCTTGACCAGGCATCAGAGGCTGTACCAAAAAATTGTCACGTTCTCTGTGACTTAAAAATAAAATATAGCGCTACCTGAGTTATGCTCACTGCTGGTACCCTGAAGTCTCTAAAATCACTGATATACTGTAATATTGTGGTAATGCAGTTTCTTTAGGTATATCCTCTGTGGTTCTACTCTGTTAATGATTCCTCTGAATCCTTACACCTATCCTACACCTATCCTTTGAATGCTACAGCTACCCTGTGCAGTCTCCTCTTCACATTGAACTGTAATGACAGTTATCCAGACATAGACTGGTTGAAAGAACAGATGTCATAGTTTCTTCTAGTACAATCACCCCTTCCAGTCACGACAACAAATTGTGCCAAGAAGATATCGGAACTTGCATATTTTGCATTTTAAGGTGATTCTGTTTATACTGTATTAGAGTAGGTATGCGGTAGTTGTGCCGGCAATGCCAGGCTGTTGTAAAACTTGGCCCTTTTTCCGAATGCCATTTCAAAGAATTGCTGGGTAGGACTTTGGTCATATTGAGGATGATAAATAAACCCGTTCCTAAATAATGTGTTTCTTACGGTAGCATTTCTACTCATCATGAGCCTCATCCCATGGAATGAGTCTGGCCAGTTGTTATGACTGTTTTTGTTTTTCAGGCTACATCTGCGAGAGGAAGGACCTGCTGGTCAATGGCTGTTGCAATGTCAATGTGCCTAGTACAAAGCTGTACAGCTGCGACAGCTGCCTTCCCAACGGCTGTTGCAGCGTATATGAGTACTGTGTTTCCTGTTGCCTGCAGCCCAACAAGGTGCGTAGAGTTTCTCTACGGCTCAAGGTGTTTATTTGTGAAGACCCTTTTCCTTAGAGGGGCCAGCTCCTTTTCTTGGAGGGTTGCGGAAAGCCTGCTAGGACCACATGCAAGCTATAAATACAATTTTTTTTTAAATGCATCCCTCCCACCTTTGAGAGGAAACACTGGGAAGTGTCTTGTGAAGTGTTTCAACTTCAATGGAATTGCATTTGCTGAAGGGAAGTGATTATAGAATAATTATTCCAACCAGTATCAATTTTGCGATGTGCACTTCCCTGTATTCCATTAGCCGGCACAGTGTAAGGCTCCTTTAGATTTTCTTACTGTGGTTGAGGTTCCTTGATGTGTTAACTTTTTAATGCTTTCTAGAAACGCTAGGCGGAACTGCTTGCTATTCCTCTGAAATTTGGTCTGTGTAAGTTAATGTGGGTTTGAATTATTCCTTGTTGAAGTAGTTTTTTTGAACTGTTTTAGCAACACCTCCTGGAACGTTTCTTGAACCGGGCAGCTATAGCTTTCCAAAACCTCTTCATGGCCGTGGAAGACCGCTTTGAGTTGTGTCTGGCAAAATGTAGAACTTCATCACAGGTAAGACGCAAGCGTGTGTCCAGTATGAATTGGAGGGCTCAGAGCTATGGCTGAGAGCTAATTTGAAGGCAGTTCTTTGATTAAACAAGGTGAAATAATAACATCAACAATAAATAAAGAGCATTGTGTATATTTAGAGCAGGATGAGCTGCGCGCTCCTTTTAGAAAAGAAAGATGCTAAACTAGAAAGAGGCCAGCTGAGGTTAGTGGCTGGGGAAGATCTCATGTGAATTTTGTTCTCATCCTTACGAGATCTTCCCCAACGTGACTTGTTCCCAGTAGCTTCAGAGATGCCATTTATCTTATGGTGTATGTTTAGATTTTCCCATACATTGACGTTTGTCTCCATAGCCACTCAAGCAAAAAGTATGTGCTAATGTGTGTGTGGTTTTTTTTGTTTTTCCCTTTAAAAACAGAGGTGAATTTCTGTTACCCATTAAAGTTACAGTGGTTTTATTAGAAGTTTTGGCCAAAAGCAAACATTAGACCTCTTAGAAAATGCTGGTGGAGATGCGTTGCAGTTTGAGTAATTAATATAGTGCTAGAGATGAATTGTAAACAAGGGACATAGATACTTATCCATATCTCCAAAGCTTTGCTTACCCGTAGTATCTGAACTCTAGCTTTTTCTACCAAAAGTGCTCACATCTCAAGCAGCAACTTCATGCCTTGCTTCCATATGGCATTTGACAGCATTGCCTAAGCACATCTAAACTTTTGGGATGCTGAATCTGATCCTACCTACTTGTATAGCTTCCTGAAAAGGAATTTCTGGGTACAGTTCAACATTAGAGTACTGTAATGCAGTAACTGACTTTTATTGTATGTTGAGGGGCGCAGTGTTTGAGCCTAGATGACATTGTAATGTGTAGAAGGGTTTGGAAATTTTTTGCAAACGTATAAACGCTTTGGGATTTGCCTCTCATAGTGGAGGGATGTATTGTTTTAACACTTGTATTGTTAAGGCTTCTCCTCTTCCCAACAGAGCGTGCAGCATGAAAACACCTATAGAGATCCAATTGCAAAGTACTGCTATGGCGAGTATCCCCCAGAGCTTCTGCCTGTTTGAAAGCTGCATGATCTAAGCAACAAGGGGAAGGAACTGGAGACTGGAATCCAAAAGAGCAAGGCAACAGCTGTTGCTTTACAAGAGCTTCAGTGTGAATGGTTTATGATATTTTTCAGGGACAAACCCAGAACTGTACAGTGTAAGGAAGGGACTTGAATTCTCTGGGACTGAATCTTGCTTTCTTCAGTTAATGTTACATGACTGCTTTAGAGCACTAGGGGGACATTTGAATACTTAAAATATTTATTCTACACAAATAGCTAGCATTTTAGGATGCACGGAGTGGATTTAGGCTATAGAACACGGTAGAATAAAATATTTAGTATAGCTTTGCAGTTGTGCATGAAGGTTCAATTGCATCTCTGCAGTCCAGAGACTTTCTAGATTGACACTGATAGTTAAGAGGATTTTTGCTTTTAGAGGGTAAAGCATGCTTGTTGCGCTTCTCTCTCTGGAGCACTTGCTGACATGCATGGTCTACACTACATATGTAATTATGAATTATTTATTCAGTTTATATGGATTGCTAGCTGAAAGTATTGATGTTTCACATAGCTAGTTGTTGATGCCTTTCAGTTCCTATTTCGTTGTATCAGGTGGGAAGGATATTTTACATCCTGACCGAAATCACTTCCCCCCTTTAATCTCAAGGATTCGTGCTAGGATTCATCACTGTAGTGATTATGTTCCTCCTAGGTGAGTTTAAAGCACTCAGAACTCCAATGGAGTTGTTATTCTGTCAAAGTCCCATAACATGAGAGGAGAGCAGGGTTCTGCCTAGGGTGACCCGTTTATTGTCTGTAATGCTTTCCTCATTACTCTGCTCTTCTTTGAGCAAACTGTTGCAAACTTAGTCTTACAAACAACTCTCTGCTAGTCCATTTTCTCACTGGGAGTGCTGAAGATGTGCTTGCTTGAACTTACTCATGTCCTGGTAATTCTAATGTTCTTCACTCCTGGTTGTGCAGGAAGTAAGGGGTGGAGTTATTCTAGGATCCCAGTTTAACAAAATGTCCTTGCGTAATAAGTAATTACACGTTGTGCAAGCCCTCCAGTGAGGACAGCTGTGTCGCAGGAGTTCAGTTAAACAGCCATGATGTTTTGATTTGCAGTATGACATACTTGCTACTCTTAAATTTCTGTCTCGTCAGAACCGTACTAGAAGATAGCGTTGGTTCTCCCATCAATTTCCTATAGCTCTCTAAAGCTGCAGTTTAAACCTTCTCCTTCTAAAGACTAAGTGAGGCTACTCCACAGGGAGTAGATTTTAGAGAACCTGTAGGATATTGACTAAATTTGTATTCCTCCTGAAAGTCAGTATGTGAAGTGTCCAAGCCCTAGACAAAATCATGCTTTTTAAAATATATATAGAATGCCTCATTTCCCTTATTTTTACCTCAGCCATCTCTGGGCAGCCAGGGCATGATTCCACGATTTTTGACTTTGTGTACGCTTGTTTAAACTGGTACTTCCTATTGCTTGTCTGAGATGACAACAATCTACGGAGTCTTAAAAAAAATGGAACGCTCTGGAGTATCCTGGTGCAAAGATTATCTGAAGAATGCTATTGCAGGATATTCTCTTGTGCTTGTAATTAAACCCGCATGTGATACAAACAAAAAGTAGCATTACTAGCCATCTGATAAAATCCACTTGTATTGTTTTCATTGTTTTTTCCCAGAAGTCGTCAAGTGAGATAATGGTTCTGTCAGCAGAATCTCTCGAAAATCTTGTTTCTCCAAAAGCTTAAAAGCCTTAGTGTTAGCAGTTTATCCAGTCACAAACCTCTCTCCCCTTTGCTGCCATCCTATGGCAACTTGCTGCAGCAGACATGATGCACTGGGAAGTGCTGTCTTGAGAGGCTAGCAGAGGCCTCTCTCGCTTCCCTTTTCAGTGTTAAACAGATTTCTCTCACCTGTTCCACCATTTCATAACTGGTTTTCTCAGAGAAGGCAGTCAGGTTGGTTTGTTATAACATTCTTATGTATTCCAGCTGTATTCCAGCACTACTGCTGATGAAATCAAGGTACTGTTGGATTACTATCACTTTCTTTTTTTTTTCTTTTTTATTAATTCCTTGGCTGGTTATACCACTGCTTGAAGCAGTGATGGTAAGAAACCATAAGAACTAACCTGATTCAGATATCTGTGGGAGTTCCTGGCCTCTGTCCCTTCCAGAAAAATAAGCGATCAGAAGTGCATTGTGACCATTGTCCTTCTGCTGGGACAGAAACTGCATCTTCCCTCCCTGGTTTAAATTCTGTCTGTCCTATATGTTAAATCATTAAAAATGTATGTGTTCTAAAATACTGCCTGTTCTCACGTGTGCCCTTGAACTACAAGGGAACGGTAGCAAAATAATAAGTTTTAATAATGCAATGGAGTAGAAGGGGACATTGAGCTTGGATATGTTTAATAAAGGCAAGGCAGCGAAAGGCAAACAGGAAATCTATTTCAATTCAACTTAAGAATACGTTTCTCTTAATGGTGCACAGAAATACCTGTCCCTTTGCGAAACTGGATTGAGCAGGAAAAGGAATGTAAATGATTGCTTCATTCTGTGAGATGCAGTGATAAATGTCAAATCTGCGCTTCCCTCCCTGAAGTATCAGCCTATTAATACTTCTGTGTTGCTTAAGTGGCGTCCGTTCCTCTTACAAAAAAGCCTGGTGATTCTGCCGGTAGATTTGGTGGCCAGCAATACATCCTAAGATTTCCTGAAAAACTCGTTCCGTGGATGTTAGCAACTGTCTGACTTTTGCTTTCTAGTCCTCTGCTAAGAGAGTCAAGTTGTTGACTTGTGTTTGGCAGCAGATTTAATGAAAACAGTCAATGCAGTTACTAGCTCTGTTTACCTGCACTGGGCTCAGGGCTGGGGTGGTTGAATGGGTTATGTACCCCTTCTTTATTTCCTGTAGTTTGCAAGAATCTTAATGCTAGTGGAAAATGATAGCAGCTCACCTCTAACGAGGAACGGGTATAGTATTTGGCCATGCCAATTTGGAAAGAGTGACCTCTAACAGTAGGGAAGGGCAGTGATTGCTTTGGCCATCTCTGCCAAATTTGAACTTGAGTCATTGGCCTTGGCAGAGCCTGCTGTACTGCTTCCTCGGGGTGGTATACAGCGAATTGGGTGAAAATGCTTCTTAACTTGATAGGCTAGAGTTCTGAAAAGGCAAAAGCAGGTTTCTGGCTTGGGGCTGCCACTGAACAGTTGAGGAGCCGGGATCATGGCTGTGTTGTTCTCAGAATCTCACAGGTTATCTAGGCAGTTCATTACTCATTTCCTGTGTTCTGGCTCTAATGTCTTAATAAAACATCTAACCAATTATGTTAGGATTAGTGAATTGTAAATTTCTGAATATAAAACACTAAGCAAATTCTAAATGCAGTCTTAGTTCTGTTATGCTTTTAAAAAGCAAACTTTTTTTTTGCCTTCTCTTGTCATTTAGCTGAACAGGTTTGAGCTTTAGGATTTTTTCTGTCTTGTGCTCATCATTTAAACTGCAAACACACTAGTTCCTTTAAACAAGCACCATAATTTGGTGTTTGTTCTTTAGTTATTCTAGTCAAGGAGAGGTGTGGGAGGAGGTGAAAAGGAATTCTCTAACTCAGCAAGTTCCACAAAAGATGGGAGTTCAGCAAATTACTGGTGCGTTAATAAGTCTTCTGCATTTCTCTGCAATCTGAGGCAAACAGCTATATGCAGACGGGGGAGAAATGCCGACTTCCAAAACCTGCACGGAGTGATGGGAAAGTACTTCTTCATTTTTTGATCTATGTCTAATTAAACAGGCAGGTCTGTCTAATATCTTTGGTCAAAGAAGTCTGACTCTTAGCAGTATACATATTATCTATATAATGTCTTCTGTTTTGGAGTAAACAGAGTCAGATGGCCCTCAATTTTCTTAGAAATCATAGTTCCTGGCAGATTAGCATGTTATAGGTCTTGGGCAAGAATTCTTAAGATCCCTTTAGACCGACACGTTTGTTGTGGTTCTGCCTTTTCACTTAGTGTAAAACAGAGCCCTGAGTTGCAAAGGAGAAAAAACAAGGCGCAGGCTCTGGCTGAAAAGCTTGTCTTGTTGAAATACAAACTAGAAAGAAGTTTCTGCTAAGGGGACAGAGGACTACAAATTACTATTGTGAAGGGGACTCGGAGGCAGCTAGTGGGTCACCTGCGCTTTTCCAGAGCGGAGATTACAGCTAGTCTGTTTCTAATATTAATGGTTAAAGCCAGGAGCAGCACCTTATTCCTTGCCAGTTTAATCGAAGTTTCCAATTAAATCTAGCTCTCATTTTATCCAGTACACGTCGTCTTTCTGCATGGACGCACCTCAGAATAAGACACTAGTGGGAATCGAGGTGAACGGGAATGAGATGTCAGCTGCTTCCGCTCAGCCCGATATCTGTTCAGATTTTAAACACCTCGGAGCAGGGCGACTGCTCTGCGTTTGTAGTTC